CATAGAAACAGGAAGTCAGTGGAAGTAGTAAAGCCCGCCTCTTGCTTGATTTGATTGGCTGCCTTGGTCAATTGGGACATTAATGAGCGGTGTGACTGCAAAAAGTTGAGAACATCTTATTTTTTATGCCTGAAAACGTATCGTCGCGGCTTTCTAGTGACATGTCTCAGTGTGGTCGGTGCTACCACAAAGAAAAACTGCACCTCAGTTCAGCCATGGATTGCAAAACCAGTGTTCTATCAGTTCAGGTTTTTAGTCACCAGTGTCGGCGCACTTGGATGTAGTCCATCCCCACCGCCTTCACATCCCTTCACCCTATTTCACCCCTGGGAAGTACGTCTAGTTTTCTATGCTGGACTTTCTCGTCAGGGGGGAATCCAGGGAGCTGTCTCTATGATTCCCTGTCTGGATGGTCATCAACCGTTTGGCTAACCGCCTCCACTTCCCACGTCTCCAGGTTCAGACCTGTCACACAAAGTCTGCTTCGTTTTATACTGTTTATCTTGCAATCATTGTTACAGAACTAAACTTTTGGATCGTATTTCACTGTCTCACTGTTACCTCAAACATCGCCGCCCCAACACAGTCCTCTGCAAAGAACCACAACTGCATGTTGGTAGAAAACGGGAAGTAAACGTCAGTCTGCTGTGTTGAAGTCTGATGAACCTCCCTTCTTTGTGTACTTTGTATTTCCTCCTTTGATCTGGATGGAAAAGACTCCTCCAGTCACCAGATGACTGAGCATCCTGTAGAGCCAACGTCCTATTTGGTATTATATTATTCTCCATCCGTCTTCATCATTATAAAACCACAACACAACAAATGTTGAGGATGACTAGTTTTCACTCCTGCCACCTAAAAGAGTCAATGAAATGTCTGATGTTACTATTTCTAATTTAAAATATTTTGGGTAGGAATTTGGCTCTTTCTTGAGGGAATAGTGTAGTAGCAGAAGTATTTTATTTATTCGTTTTTTTAATTAAACCTTTTTTTAACCAGGCAACTCATTAAGAATAAATTTTATTTACAATGGCGGTCTGGCAAAAGGCAAAATCTAAACAAAAAATCACAAGTTAGAAAGACAGCAACACACAACCGAACATTTCCAACGCACCCATTACTAACACACAACCACAAACAAGCATTACATGAAGACGTTATTCTTATTAAACAGTAGAAACGAAGCAGACTTTGTGTGCCGGGTTTGATCCTGGAGACAAAGGGAAGTGTAGTTTAGTGTAGCGGGGGAAGGGTGAAGGGATGTGCCGGTGGTTGGTGCACTATTGATGACCTTTGGTCCATTGATTTTCCGTCCTATCAGAGACAGAAGTTGAAGGTATTTTAAAACCTTAAATATTTTTGTGGCTTTTGAGAAAACACTGAGAATCCAACTCCACCTGCTCCATCCTCTGAGCACCCGACGCATCATTCAGCAATTTAAGAACTTTAACAAAAGCAAGACATATTCTTTTTTTAGAAACTCCAGCAGCTCATTTACTCGACTGCTTTTCTGTCCCATAATAACACATTCTTTGTTAGATTCACTCTATTTGATCTTGAACTTTGTCTGACACTTCTTGATTTTAACGAATGGAGGAAAAATGGAAACAATTTTTGTGGAAAGATTTTGTTTATTGATTTATGATTTATTGAAGCGTATATAACTGACCAGGTTTAATTATGATAACAAGCCTATTCAGCTTTTAATACTTCTTGTCAAAGGAAAAATTTTGTTTTCTGAAAAAGTACTGGCAAAAAATTCTGAAGCATAAAAATTCAAAAGCGGGGTGTTACAATTTCATACATTATAATGATGACGATTATTATTATTTTATATTTTAACAACTTGAGAAAGCCTGTCATACTGAATTGGCTTCAATATTCATAATTCCTCCGTGTCACATTAGTGTTCAACATGATCCCGGCATGATGCTCTAAATGAATCCTGTGCAACGTGAAAGTATTTACAGATATTATTTAACTATCGCTTCATTTCCTTTGAGCCACTTTCCTGTTGTGAAACAAAGCGATAATCCTCTGCTTGATCTCTTTTATTTGCAGCCCGTAGATGACGGCGTTGAACGCAGGCAGAGTCACTTCACACAGGATGGACACCACTTTCCTGTAGTCGGACATCCGAGGGAACCGGTGCAGAGTGATGATGACCAGCGCCGACACCAGGAGGAAGACGTACACGGCCAGGTGAGTGCTGCAGGTCTGCAGCGCTTTGCTGTTCAGCGCCTTGTTTTTACTGCGGACACAAACCGCCGCGATCTTCAGGTAGGTGATCGTCACGCTGACGAGGGAGGAGCCCAGCACCGCCGCCGTGAGGCCGAGGCCGTAGACGTGGTTGACGAGGACGCTCTCACAGGAGAGGCCGAACAGGGAGGCGTTGTCGCAGAACGGGTTGGGTATAACCCACCGGCAGCGTGACAGTCGGATGCTGAGCCCCACGAGGATGGCGACGGCAGTGAAGGCCGTCGTCCACGCCGCCGCCGACAGCGCCGCCACCGTCCTGCCGGTCATGATGGACGCGTATCGCAGGGGTTTGCAGATGGCCACGTAGCGGTCGAAGGCCATGATCATGAGCACCGTGTGGGTGACGTTTGCGTAGAGGTGAACGCAGAACGCCTGGATGGCACAGTCAATGTAGCGGATGAACCGCTCCGATGGTGGTCTGAGGATGTCTCTGAGGATGTGTGGCGTGACGATCGTCGCCCCAAAGATGTCGTTGATGCTCATGTTGCAGAAGAGCAGGTACATGGGCTGGTGGAGGGTCCGGCTCGTCAGGATCAGGACCACCAAGCTGATGTTTGACACCAAGGCAAAGATGTAGATGAGGAGGAGGGCGATGAAAGCAGGAAGGGAGGACTGGGAAGAGACCTTTAACCCCTCCAGGAGTAGGACACCCTCACCCAAAGTCTGGTTCTCCATATGAAGTCTGTGGAATAACAACAAAGATCTTAAAACGCAAACAGCTGCAGACATCGATCTTCAATCTGATTCAATTTCTTCATCAATGTCATTAAAGTTCAGTGTTTCTGTGACTTCAGTTCAGTCACAGGTGGCTGCTGAGTCAGCGTTAAATGATCTCGTTCAGTTAGTTAAACATACAGAGTGTTTAAAAAAGAAAGTTCCAGATTAGTACAAAAACATTTGAGAAACGGTTCTCATGAAGTTGACCATAAGTTAAAAGTTTTGACAACTTGAATTGTTGTCCCTTTTGTTTGGAGCAGTCAGCTTTGAGAGCCAAACATTAACATGGAAGGAGCAGTGACTGTGACTGTGAAGGCTTCTTAAGACTCTTCTTAACTGCTCCAGGTCGAGTATTTGATTTCTGAAGAGCAGATTGAATCGTCCGCTTTAAAGGAAGGATGCATCGGTCTACGTTCATGTTCATGCTGTTGGAACAAAACAGGCACATAATGCTAAAGTACGTTCACATGAATTCATTTTCCATCTGCAGAGGGAACGCTGTGTTTGGTAGCTTCCACCCCCGACCGGAGCTCAAACAGCAACGCAACGCTTTTATTTCTGTAGCTGCTGCATCAACACGCTCACAGTCCGTCTGCCGCTAGGCAACCAGTGACTCAGCATTATCTGTGTGTCTATAGTGATCATAGTGGCATAAAATAATGTCTAAAAGTTCTCTAAATAGTTTGTATTTGTTCTGATTTATGATATATTTATAAACGGTAAATAAATAAATGTGTTTTGATATGATAGGAACACATGTGGAGACAGATGTTTATTGCTATCTTACTGTTTGACTTCAAATGTAACAAAATGTGATGTAAATACACTAAAATATAACATTTATGATACAATTTGTATAAAGTTAAACTCAAGCAGTCTCAGTGGTGTTGACCTGTGAGTTTTACTTTAAAATAGTATTTCCATACAGCCAAGTTACAAATAACATAAATTGAAATCGTAATAAACTCGATGAACATTGATCACTATATTATTGACAGAAGAGCTCCATGCTATGCAGGCAGAGAACCAAAGGCCCACAGATCATATGAATCAGTGAGAACAATGATTGCAGTTCGTTGGCGTCTGTCTCGGTGCTGATTAGTCACACAAGTCACGACGTCTTTCCAACACTGTAGATGTGAAGTGTTGCTCTAATTATTGGTGTCCTTATTGAACGGCCTCAGGTCAGAGGTCAGAGGTTACCTCGAGGTTTAGTCCGGCTTTTATCCAACAAAGAGAATAATTCATGGTTTGCACTTTGAGTGAAATACGATTTTAGGCCGCTGGATATGAAGTGACGTGTCACATGACGCTGCTTTGGTTTGGTCTCCCTTCTGCTGAGTCATCTAATGAAAACATGACCTCACTGTTGTTCAGCACCAGTGTGTGTTTGCTGTCGTTACAGTGACAGTTTGTTAATTAGTACCAGAAGCAGAAGGAACTCTTCAGGGAAGCTTCGGCCTCCCATCTCGACACCAGCTGAACTCTTTCTCTGTTCACAACAAATAACATGAAGTCACTAGCAGGTCTGCTCCCCCGCCGGGTTTCAGTCTTTCAAACAACATCAACAGTCAAAAGATCAAACGACTTTCTCAGTTTAATGACTTTAAAGAATCAGGGAATGGTTTCAATATCTCTAAAACTCTTTTTCCTTTACCTGTAACATGATTAAATGTTTGAATAATGAGGAATCTCACTCTCCACCTTTCATAGAAAAAACATGTTTGTACAATCTGTGACTGTTTTTAGATACTTGTTCTCCAACCATGTCTGTATAACATGTGTTTTTGCACCATATTTAATATTACATTCAGCCTTTATACCACAGGCAAGCCAGGCAAGGCTGCACAGCCACATGGGACAATGAATCACGTCTATTTGAACCCTTTTAGACCGAAAACCTCCGACATTTGAAGATTTCTGCCGTTTGGATAGCGAGCACTTCTGTTGTACTACTAAAGAACCTCCTTATTGTCAGAATACATAACACAGTCATACATCCTCTGATCGTCCTCCGTCTGTGGCTGTAAAGTTTCATGACGCTGTGATTATCCTCCAGGTCATTTTATACAATGACGTCAAGTTTAGTCTCACTCTGTGAAGATGCTTCTATGAGGACTAACATCCTAACACATGGACACAAGCGAGCTCATTAGATCCACAAGAGTCTCGGCTGTCCAGTCAAGTCACATTAATTCACTTCAATTCACAAGTTTAGGTTTAGGGACACGTAAAAATATCGAAAAAACTGCATGTGATCATCGTTACGTAGACGTGTCTGTGAAGCGGACTCTCGTGGTCCCACAGGAACCTTCTTCATTCACAGACCTGCAGGTGAGAGACTCAGTGTGACTTCCTACCGCCTCCCTGACAAGCGAGCATGTACATTTATTTAGGAAAGTTGCTCAACTTAAGTACAGTATCAACTGGAAAGCTCCTGCTGCATTAGCTAATCTACAGGTCCCATCCTTTGGAACCATTTATCAAACAAACATGGTCAATTTCAGCGAGTTTTGAGTTTGTATTTATATGAACGTTAACGGGTCCAGAGTTCAGGGAGTGGTGGTGGGGGGGGGGGGGGGGGGGGTCAATAGGGGACTAGCATCAAAGACTGATGTTAATCCAGCTTTGAGTTCATGAGCTTTAAAAAGTTACAGTTGCTTAAAAACATCCCATCGTTGTTGACTGAGCAGCTGTAGATCGTCCCCCCGTCCCCCCCAAAAAAAACCCTTCTGGTGCCTATTTGATGACAGGAAGTGACCCACGCTCCGAGAGTTAAACATCAATCCATTATCCCCCCATTCCTATTGGACGATGAGTTCAAGGATGGAAAGAGTCACAATAATTCAGACCATTCGGACAAATGAGTTCACAAAATCAGAAGCTTCACCTTTGAAGACTTGTTTGACTGGATGATTACTTCCTGGATGAGGTGATTTTGAGAATCTTTTATGTTTTGTTTGTTGTGTTTCTTCTGAAAGCTGAAGCATGAGTTCTCTCAATGACTGCAGACTGGTATGTGCGTGGTTGTTATAACTATTTAGCCTAGCTTAGTATTTAGCCTAGCTTAGCATAAAGTCTGGAGCAGGAAGAAACTGCTTCCTGTCTTTGTGCTAAGCTAGGCGGTTTTGACTCTGGACAGAAAAACCAATGGATGCACTTCTACTTATCACCAATATGTCGTTTTATGGTTGATGGTCAAGTATCAGATGGATTGTTGTGGTTCAGATGTTCAGGATGAATTATAATAACTTTAACATAGTTTTATTTGTCCAATACGCGATACTCAATTCAAACTCGAGGCCAGGAATTTGATGACTTTAGACTCAACTTTTTGGTGGAAATTGTATTCAACACAAACGTTCCAATGACTCGTGACTTCACTAAGACTTTGAGCCTTTTGACTTGAAAACACTTGATAACTTCGTATGTTATTTAGTTTATCTAATTCATTTTCCTTCATCTTCTCAGGTTAACTTGAACACTATTCAAGTCAAACACTTATTCCAGCTTTGTGTGATCTGACAGCATCCGATAACTGAGAGTCACGTTACTGAGCTGCAGTTGGAAAAGATGAAATAAAAAGATGATTGTTTGTGTACAAAAACGACAACAAATTGCAGGTTGAAAATTACAGACGGAGACGAGACGCCAATGACTTCACAGAGAACTCTGACTGGTGCTGGACTCAAAGCTCAAAGTTCAGTTTGACTCATGACTTGCAGAACAAGGACTCACATGGACATTGAACCTGCTAACCATTAGCATGTTAGCATTGTAGCATTGACCAGTTAGTGGCTCTGTTTTACTCTCTGACGTCGTGTATCTTCTATCACAGGATGTAGATCCCAGAAGCTTTCATTAGTGTCTGATGAGCATCTATCACTGGGCCTCTCCAGAGCTCCCAGCGGCTTAATTACCTCCACAAGCTGCTGATAAGTGTTTTTATACGGGACATGCTCACGGTGGACCTCGTTAATGATCACATCGGGCGGTGATGAACTGGTGGACCATTAGGGGGGCGATGTGGTCCCGGAGCTCCCAGCATGCAACAGTTTGAACTAACTTTGAGTTTGTAACCAATAACAATAACACAGCGAAGTTTCACTTCACAGATTAACTTGTGACGTCTCGTGTGTCTCAGAAACGTGTCAAATATCTTTCTGTTTGTATCGAGTTTAATGCTGACATCATCAAACGGATCATTAAACTCTCACAAGAGAAAACAGGAAGCAAATGTAACTTTCAGATCTTTAACATCGACACCGATAGCGGATCATTGATGATCCACATCGAGTTAGTTGTTTAGTTACAGCAGCTGGTCTACGAGGCTCTGAAGTTATTGAACCATCATCCATGTGAAACATTATCATTTCACTTTATTTAAGTCTCACTGTAGTTTATTCTGCAGTTATTTTATGTTGAAGATGTTGACAGGATGAGGGTTAAACACAGAATCAATCGTGAAATTTAACAAAACTTTCATAATCTAAACAATTTGTTTGTTCGTTTTTTAAATCAGAAGAAAATTAGAACTCTTTCTAAATCGACCAGAGAAGTATTATATCATAAACACCCACAGCACTCGATACCAGCGGAAGGTCGACGACACGGTTTAGTAAAAACAAGCAAGTATGGATTAGAAGCTGCAGATCTGAGCGGGACACAAACGATGGTGCGTTCAGGTGCTCCTCGGATGGTCCCAGTAGTTCTTGTGAATTCATTAACAACAACATGGACGCTATAAAGAACACATGCTATATTTCACTGCTGCAACAACACGGGAGCTGTTTTTGAGTTCAAACTTGAAAGGGCGTTCATGTCGGGAACTCGTGTAATTGCGATTATTCCGACGCTACCTGAATGCAGCACAAACGCCCTGTTGACCCAAAACAGAACCTCCTTTGTGAAGGTTATTAATTGAGTGACGTGTTCTCTTGACGTGTTGTTTTAGGCTT